CTATTAAATAAAACTTTATAGGACAATTTTTGTAAAAATCTCTTGTGGCTTTTCATGCAGTTTGTCAGAGTTTATTGTAGGCTAATGAGAAACAAATACCTAACTTATTTAACTAAAAATCCTCATGATAAAAACCTTGTTTTTCAAAACCACGTGGCTTGGTTTGACTCAGTATCACTCCTTGCATTGGAGGCCACATTACAAAAAGAATGAATGAATTCTTCAAACCAGTAACCAAAGAAAATTGTGTTACTTTTACTTATTGCAAGAAACCCAATTTGGTGTTTTATATGCTCTTTATCATTAAAGGGGAGCTCTGGTGGCATAGGGCCTAAGGCATTTGACTGCTAACCAGAAGGCTGGTGGTTCAAACCTACCAGCCACTCCTTGGAAGGAAGGTTGGGCACTCTACTTCTGTAGTGATACCGCCTCGGAAACCCAAGGAGGAGGGGTTGCTATGAGTCGGGCCGACTTAGAGGCAAATAACAACAAACCACAGTAATAAAGACAGCATTTTTCCGTATTCCCTTTTGTCTGAAATAAAACAAAAACTCACTGCCATTTGAGTTGATTCCAACTCATAGTGACCCCTGTTGGGTTTCCAAGGCAGTAAATCGTTATTAAAGTAGATTGCCCCATCTTCCTTCCACAGAGCATCTGGTGTGTTTAAACCCGCCAGCCTTCTGGTTAGCAGTCAAATGCCTTAGGCACTATGCTAGGAGAACACTTAATTTGTGAGGGATCTTTCAAAAGCTTCCCTAAGAGGTACATGACCTCAGAGACTGGCCAAAGAAGCCTGATCTTACTTGAATAGTCCATTTATATGTTAAAGACAAAAGATAACTAATTTAACTACTTGTTTCACGTGAAGACATTACTTGTTTTCCTCAAATAAAAGACATTCTATAATATGCAATTTAAGTTACTTAGATTTACCTTCAGGGTTGTCATAAACTCTAACTTCTATCAAAATGAATTTGTTACATTAATTCCTTGTAATATTAGGACTAATTCATGTAAGTATTTATCATTGGACCAAATCTTAGCAAGTTCCTTGATAATACTGAAGAAATATTATCTAATTTAAGATTACCATCCAGAGGTGAATGTGTGTGTGTGTATTCATGATTATGTCTTTTGCATGCTTTATAAGATTTTCTTAGAATAATTTGTTTCTTTTAAGGCCTTGTTATACCAATTCAACTAAACAATTTTTTCAGTGTGCTTTTCAAATGAACCAATTTATAACAAAGTTCCTTAGAGTAGCTACTGAAAGCATAATTCATAAGACAGCTGCAAGAAGCTGTTTTATTTGGAGTTGAGGCTTAGAGCAACCTCATGGTGGGGCACAAAGGAAGATAAAGGAAAGCCAGATTGAGTGCTCTTAAGATTAGAATCCTTTTTTCTAGGTGACCCACCCCAGATCTTGTCCAGATAGACACCATCTTGCATGAAACTCACACACTCATTGGGTCTCTAAAATTAGTTTAAACAGTAGACTTACAGGGTTTTATACACACACACACACACACACAAAAGTAACTACATAATTTCAAGCTGCTTCAGTTTAGGCCAACCGATCTTAAAATTACCAGAGATCTCTCTCGGATCTAGTGCTATAGTCCTTGTCCTGAAAGTGACCACTGCCTTTGTAAAGAATTCCTTTATGATTGTATGCCAGTGTCTAATGTCTAAAACAATGAAGGATCCCCCTAATGCTTACGTATGTAAGCCACTGGGGTACTTGAGAGAGGTCCAGTTTGACCTTGAGGCATGGTATTCTCCATCTTATCAAGCAACAACACCTGTTTCAAAGTTTTTACAAAACAGGCTGGGAGTTGCCCAACACCCCCCCCCCCATGGGAATTTCTTGCAGGAAATAGTGCAAACACAAAAATTAACAAATGGTAACATTTGGCAACAGTGAAATATTGTATTTGGTTAGCAACCCTTACCATTGTACACAAAACCTAGGTTATCAAAACCAGAATTCTAGACCTAACATCCTTTGCAAACAGAACAAACAGAAACTTATAGTCACAATCTTGTACTGCTGCCACCAGCAGAGACAAATAACCTCTTGCAAAAGACTAAATCAAAACTCCACACTACTGCCACCAATGGAGGCAAAATAAGATGTTTCCAAGAGAGAGAAAAGAAAAAGTAAAATGGTGAAGGCAAACTTATTAGGCCAGAGTACAGCATGTATAATTTATCTTGAAATTGAAATCTGCAGAGAAAACCAAGTGTTTCTAGAGGTGCTAAAACACAGTTTTCAAACATATGCAAACAAATGGAAAGAAAGCATTAAGAGTTCTCATACGGAAAAGAAAAATCCACCCACAGTAAGACCTAATAAGGTCTCAGCCACACCACATACCGAGCTCAAAATCCAAGAGCACTTACCTCACAGAGTCCCTGGGGTTTGTGGAGTGGTGGGTGCAAGAGACTCCTTTGGCACCTGTGCCAGTCCTCAACCTCCGTGGTCCCATAGGGAAAAGATGGCTTTGGATCCTGCCATTGACTACGCCGTTTGAAAAAGGGAAACGAGACCCCAGGTTCAAGCATCTTTAACAGAGACAGTTTTTAAGGCTCCGACAGGATGAAGACATCATCTTGGATGAAGGAAACTGTCAGCATGTACATAGTACAGAAAGCTGAATGGAGTCCCTGCGTATGTATTTATATAGATCCTTTTTTTTTTTTTTTTTTTTTTTTGTGGTGAAAATATACACACCAAAACATTTACCAGTACAACTTCCACATTTACAATTCAATGAGATTGATTACATTTGTGCTACCATTACCACTATCCTTTTCCAAAATATCTCACCATATTTAATATAAACTCAATACCTTCCAAATAGACAAAGAAAAAATCCTCCTTTCCTCACCCTTGGTCACCATTAATAATCTTGGTTTATATATATTTCATATAAGTGAGATCATGTAGTATTTGCCCTTTTGGTACTAACTTACTTTGCTCAGCATAATGGTCAAAGTTCATCCATGTTGTAGCATGCAGACCTTGATTTCTCTTTATGACTGCATAATATTTCACTCCATGTATATAGGTTATATCGATCCCTTTTATAAAAACACATAGGGAGAAATATTGTAAATAGGACTTTGTATCTTGACTTTTCGCTTAAACTTAGAGATTATTCCATAGTAGCACATAACCATTCATTTCCCTTTTTAATTGGTACATTATACAATATTTTTTTTTGTTAGAAAATATTTCAGACATACACAAAAGTTGTTGTTGTTGTTGTTATGTGCGGTTGAGTCGGACCTGACTCACAGCAACCCCTCCTTGGGTTTCCAAGGCAGTATCACTACACAAGTAGATTGCCTAACCTTTCTTCCGAGGAGTTGCTGGTGGGTTTGAACCACCAGCCTTATGGTTAGCAGTCAAGTGCCTTAGGCACTGCGCTACCGAGCTCCACACAAAAGGTAGAAAGACTTATTATATAAGATCACTCATATCCCTACTACGTTCCTTAAAAAAAATAGGACATTAACTACCTATAATTTCCGTAGATTTTCTTAAATTTCTTTCATTTTACAGTTGCAGCAGCAAAATGTTTATTAGCTATTTTTAGATGGAATATCATGAAGAAGTCCAGGACTTTACGTATTTGAGCAAATAGTTCTTATTTCTTCTCTTAAATTATAAAAACTTTATGGTAAACATTCAATTATTTTTTTTAAGAAGAAAAAAGTAACTTTAAACTTGGTTAAGTTTCTCTTCCTTCTTTATTACTTTGATTATTAAAATTGTTATTGTTCTTCTTATTACTATCCAAGTCTTATCACCTTGAATGTTTTATTGTACTTACCTTACCTGAGGCTATTGGGTTGATTCTGACTGATAGCGACCATTTAGGACAAAGTGGAACTGTCCCATAGGGTTTCCAAGGCTGTAAATCTTCTCCTGGGAAGCAACTGGTGGAATCAAACTGCCAATCTTAAAATTAGCAATCCACTGCACCACCAGAGCTCCTGATATTTATTATAAATGGCCTTAAATGTTATCGGGGAAGCAAACAAATCAAAATATATAAATACAATAAAGAAGTATGGCCATATTTAGTTAACCTTTTCAATTTCAATATATTCTGAATTATTTTTCTGGTTCCATATGGGTGAATCTGAGATAACTTGAATCAAGTTATATAGAAACAATAACATTCTGTGAGCTTTTAAAAGAAGGTAGACAGTGTTCCTTTTCACAGTTCTTTTTGAGTAAAAGACAAAAGATACCTTGAGTAGTTAAAAAAAAAAATTCTTACTCAACATTGATGATTTGGGTTGTTTTATTTTGTACCTCTTTGGATTATTCACTAGTATGCCTACTTGTTGGATCATTATGACCTGACAAGGTACATAATCTTATAGATGACTTTGGAAAAAAAAAAAAAAGGGAAATTCTGGTGGTATAGTGGATAAGGCCCTTGGCAGCTAACCAGAACGTCCGTGGTTCAAACCTACCATCTGCTCTGTGGAAGGAGGATGGGGCGATCTACTTCTGTAAAGATTTAGAGCCTTGGAAACCAAGTGGGTATCGCTATGAGTCAGAATCGACTTGATGGCAGTGAGGTTTTAAAAAAGCTCTGTTTTGAGAAGGAATAGTCTTAACGCAAGTTTATTTCACAATCCAAACCTTTTTTACTATTTCTGATAGTAAAGTTCTATTTTGACAATCTTCAAGGAAATTTGAATACTGGCAATAACTAGAATATTATGTGGTGTGTCTCTAATTAGAAGGAAGACTTAAGAGGTCCAGTGTTATTCCTGTATTTGTTACAATGATACTTGATAGTGTAACCAGAAGTAACAAAAATATTTATATGACACTGTAGGTGACTTGGAACCTTTGAAAGTTCTAGGAGTATTTAGCCAGGACTGCTGCCTATTGATGACTATCCCAATTACATACGTTACAGTTCATTTAAATATGTTTTAAGATGGATTGTATTTTCTCATTTCTTTGTTAGAGCCAAATACCACAAGTTGAAATATGGGACAGAATTGAATCAGGGAGATATGAAGCCTCCAAGCTATGATTCTGGTAAGCTAATTTTAAAGGAAGTTTAAGTGATAAAAGGAGTTAATATCTGGAATTTTGTAATAACATTTATAACTATAAGTTAATTTCTAATTATTTGCATGCTTTTTTTTTCTGACCTAATTATCTTTTTAGCGTCCTTTTGTGTCATTTTCACCGTCTCCTTTCCTTTTCCCTATTCCCCTTTCTTTTAGTTCCTTATTTTCTGTTTATGTTCTACACTTAGTGGATGGGTCAGAATTCATGGGGTAGCATGTACTAAAATTACTGTGCCTTAACTGGGACTCAGCAGCATTAATGGGAACTTAGAGATATGCAGTGCAAAGCACATCACACCTTTGAAGTCCTGAGAGGAAGAATAGAAACTATGGAAATGAGAGTTCCTTTTAAATTCCTAATCCCTGAAACCTAATTCCTTGATTTTAGGTGTAAAACTACTGGACTTTAACACCTGGGGTTCTGTAACTACGACAGGGTTGTTGCTTTTATATTTAATAATATTAGGTTTTTGGTGAAGGTTTATACAGCTGTTTAGGTTCCCATTTAACAATTTGTACACAAGTGATTCAGTGACATTGGTTGCATTTTTCACAATATGTGAACATTCTCATTGTTTCCATTCGGGTTTTCCTTTACCAGAACATGTTTCACAGCTGAAACATTTTTTGCTTTTTTTTATGTCAGTTTATTTTCCTTCTCCTACCTTCCTCTTCACCCTACCAAACAGTATGCAAATAGTACTTGTACACAATCAGATATTAAAGAGTATAGGTACAACTCACTTATTAGTAGGTATGAGTGTTAGATATTCCTAATAAGCTGACTTATTTAACACTATTCCTCTGCCTTATTTGAATGGATAATTTAAGATTAAAAAACAAAAACCAAACTCACTGCTGTAGAGTCGATTTGACTCATAGCAACCCCTCCTCGGGTTTTTAAGGCACTATCTCTACATAAGTAGATTACCCAACCTTCCTTCTGAGGAGTGGCTAGTGGGTTTGAAGGGTTTGAATCACCAGCTTTCTCATTAGCAGTCAAGTGCCTTAGGCACTAGGCCACCAGAGCTCCCAATTTAAGATTGTTGTTGTTGTTGTTGTTATGTGCCATCGAGTCAGCCCTGACTCATAGCGACCCCTCCTTGGGTCTTAGCCACTATGCTACCAGAGCTCCTATGGATTTTCATAGGGGAGATAAACAACTGAAGAAGTAATTACAGTAAAGTATGATGTATACAGTGGGGAAATAAATCACAAGTGTTATGGAGCACAAATAGTAGGGGAACCTAATCTAGTTTAAGTGGTCAAGGAAGACTTCTTGGAAGAAGTGATGTTTCAGTAGACATCTGAAGGACAAGTAGAAATTAGCCAAGACAAATGGACTGACTATTTATTGAATGGAAAGTGAAATATTATGGGCAGATCATTTGGTTGAGTATGGTACATTAGAGAAACTGCATAACTTGATAGTAGTGGAAAGGAAGGAGGGAGTATTTGTTAGATGAAGGTAGAGTGTTGGGTTGAGGGGGAAGGAGGTGGTGTAGATGGTAGAGGTCTTGTGAAATGTGTTAAGGATTTCAAGCTTTATCATAAACTAAAAGTGATGAATAGGCATTTCAATGTTCTTTTTTAAAAAAAATATTTTATGTTTGATAAAAATACACCTTGCAAATCATACACATTCAGTAATTTCTACATGTACGGTTCAGTGACTTTGGTTACATTCTTCATGTTGTGTCACCATTCTCACTATCTCTCCACCTGTTATTTCACCACCATGGATTTAGACTCACTGCCCCATAAACTACTCTTAAATGTTCTTAATTAGGGCTTTTGTGATCAGATTTGCTCTTAGGCCCCATTCACTACAGTGTGGAAGATGAATTAGAGAAGAAAAAATTGGAAGTAGATTGGTTAAAGGACTATTATGGTTACCTAAGTAAATGAGGGAGAGTGCTTTGACAGATTCTAACCATGAAGTCAAAGAAAAGTGAATGTATCCAGGAAATATTTAGGAAGTCAAATCTATATGAACTAGTCCTTGGTGGTTGTTGTTACGTGCCGTCGAGTTGGACCCAACTCATAGCAACCCCTCCTTGGGTTTCCGAGGCAGTATCACTAGGGAACTAGATTGCCCAGCCTTCCTTCCGAGGAGTGGCTGGTGGGTTTGAACTGCCAGACTTCTGGTTAGCAGTCAAATGCCTTAGGCACTACGCTACCAGAGGTCCCTTGGTTAGATGTAAGGAATGAAAAGAAAGACAAAGTCAAAGATGACTCCTACATCTTAGCTTAGACTAGACTGAAGTAGATTTGGAAGATGGTGGGTTTACTTTTGGACTTAAGTTAGACATGCAAGTGAAGATGATGCGTAGACATTTGGGTGTTTGCATCTGGAGCTCTGGCCAGAGGTGTCGGTTAGATATGTAGATTTGAGAGGCATTGGCATCTACCACTGATGACATTCAAAGCCATTGGAATGGAGGAGATCACCCAGGGATCTTATGTAGAATGAGAGGGAAAACTACAATGGATTCCTGAAGAACGGCAGCTTTTAAAAGACTGGTAAAGAAGAGATACCTGAAAAGGAAACTGGTAAGGATTATCTTGGTGATAGGAGGAAACCAGGATAGTGAAAACGAAGGAAAGAGAGGCTTTTCACAAGGAAGGACTACACCACTACTGATAAATGCCCAGATGACCAAAAAGTACCTCTAGGATTTAGTGACACACAGGTCACGGTGAACTTTATTGCAAGCAGTTTTGGTAGAAAAATGAGTGCAGATACAAAGACATGAGTGGGAAATGAAGACTGAGTATAGACAACTCTCAAGAAGCTGGGTTGTGAAGGAGTAGTATTAGAGGGTGACACATGGGGTCAAGGAAGTCACATGGGTGTATACATAAATCATGTGTGTGGTATATGTTTCTTAAAGGAGTAGCCAATGAAAGAGGGTGGACATTGTCAAAAGTAGAGATGATTTGACATAATGATAGTGATCATGAGGACAGAAAAAAAACAAAACTCACTGCCATGGAGTTGGATCTGACTCATAGCAACCCCTCCATGGGTTTCAGAGGTGATATCACTATGGAAGTAGATTGCCCCATCTTCCTTCCAAGGAGTCGCTGGTAGGTTTGAATTGCCAGCCTTCTGGTTAGTAGTCAAATGCCTTGGGAAGTACACCACCAGAACTACTAATGAAGACAAAGTGACTCAGGAATAGAAGGATTAGGAAAAGCTAAGTATCCATGATCATGTGTTTGTACGTTGTTAGATGCCATCGAGTCAGTTCTGACTCATAGCGGTTCTATATAATAGAACAAAACACTGCACCATCCTTAAAATTGCTGCTATGTTGAACCTATTATTTATTGTAGCCACTGTGTCATTCCGTTTCACTGAGGATCATCTTCTTTTTTGCAGATGCTCTGCTTTACCAAGTATGATGTCCTTCTCCTGATAACATGTCCAAAGTACTTGAAATGTAGTTTTGCCATTTTACTTTTAAGGGGCATTCTGGTTGTACTTCTTCCAAGATAAGTTTGTTCATTCTTCTGGTAGTCCATGGTATTTGTAGTATTTTTCACTAGTATCGTAATTCAAAGACATCAGTTCTTTTTTGGTCTTCCTTATTCATTGTCCAACTTTCACTTGCATATGAGGCTATTAAAAATACCATACTAAGGATGCACCTTTGTCCTGAAAGTGACATCTTTTTTTTTTTTTTAAACACTTCAAAGAAGTCTTTTACAGCATATTTTCCCAGTGTAATACCTCATTTGAGTTCTTGGCTACTACCTCCATGAGTATTGATTGTGGATCCAACTAAAGTGAAAACCTTGACAACTTCAATATTTTGAGTTTATGTAGAGGCACTGATTTGTACATTCGTTAGTCTTGGTAAAGAGAATGTATTTAAATAGAGGTATGCTTGCTTTTTGAATTAGCTTTACACTACTTCATTTTTCCAAAAGACCTCTGTTAGTACTTGTTTTCACTAACCAAAAGAAACAAGAAGATGATATTCACTTTTATGAGAAAAGGTGAAAAACAAAACTAGCATTCAGCATTTGCTTTGCAGTGAGTTGTTAAAGAGAAAGCAGCACCCCAAGCTGCTTCAGACTTCCTGTCTTACACATTTCCAGGAGACAGTCTGTTTCTGCCACCGTCAAGATGTCAGAAGGCTGACAGGGACTGTGAACCAGCTCTATGTGGTATAGCAAATCAGCCAAGAACCAGGTCACCATATACATTTCAAATCTTAAAGGCTTCTCTCTCCATCACTGTGGATCCCTTGCAACTATGTTCTGGATGGAGAGAGACTATTAGGAGAGTCTCTGGGAGATGCTCTTTGACAGCAGACCTGGAAACATGAAAACAGTATAGAGGCACACAGTGGCTACAGATATTACAGGCAGTCTCCAGGTTACCAACCAAAAAAGTGCCAGGATCCAGGTAGGGGTAGGGAGACAGGCCCCACCCCAGAGGCAGGAAAGGGAAGGCACTCTGGGGATGACAGAAGTGCCAGAATCCAGGTAGGATCCAGGTAAGGGGAAAGTGGAGAGGTTTTGAACAGCTAAGGGAGACGAATTTGTCTGTCACTTTTTCATACTGTGGTGGCTTATATGTTGCTGTGAAGCTTGAGGCTGTGCCACTGGTGTCTAAAATGCCAGCAGGGTTGCACCTGGTGCACAGGTTTCGATGCAGCTTACAGATGAGACAGACTAGGAAGAAGGAAGAGGCCATCTACTTCTCAAAGAATTGGCCAGGGAAAACTCTATGAATAGCAGAAAAACACCGTCTGATGCCTTACTGGGCAACTTTATGAATAGCCTGGAAACATTGTCTGATACAGTGCAGGAAGATGAGCCTTCTAGGTCAGAAGGCACTCAAAATATGACTGGGAAAGGGTTGCCACATCAGAGTAGAACCAACCTTAATAATATGGATAAAGTAAAGCTTTCGGGTCCTCATTTGCTGATGTGGCACAACTCAAGGAGAGA